CTGCAGGGGCACGGCGGGCGGCTCGGCTCCTCGGCTTGGGGCAGGGGCGCCCGCCCGCCTTGCACGAGCAAGTGTGGGCCTCCGGGCGCCGGGGCCCCCGGGGCAGCCCGATGTTGGCCGGGGGAGGCGCCTCTCGGGAGGCCGAGGAGGCCCCGCAGCCTCCGCCGGCCCCCCCCCCGCCTGCTGCAATGCCTGTGTTCGCTGTCTGAGTTGTATGAGTTGTACGTGAAGTAGATGATGCGTAATCCAATAAGCACGGCTATCTTCGTTCTAATTCGCAGTATATAAGACATTGTTTGGGCGTGTGTACAAGCTAACCAAGTGTAAACAGTGAGCTTGTTCATGTAAACATACCTCAAATAGCCCCCCCCCCCGCCTGGGGCCCGCCGCCCCGCGTCTGCGCCCTGCCCGGGGCCCAGGGGCGGCCCCGGCCGTGCGCGGCGGTGGCGCGCGGGTGCCTCCCCCCCGTCGCCCCCTGCGTGCAGAGGAGGAGGAGGAGGGCGGCGGGATCCGGGCCTCCGTCGGGCGTGCGCCTCTGCAGGGGGGGAGTCGTCCAGGAGAGTCAGGAGCGAGGTTCTCACCATGCTTGCCTATTTTCGAAGGTGCTGTGGGTATTTTTCAGTTTTCCTCCAGAATCCGCCTGCAAGGGGACGGGCCCGACCTGAATCCACACGCGCAGCCACCGCCGCGGGGCCATGACCCTCCTCGGCCCGGGAGCGGTGCACGTGCCCCCTGGCTTGGCCAGGGAGGCATGCAGTCGAGGCTGATTAGCAGGTCAACCCTGCCCCTCCTCCTCCTCCTCCTCCTCCTCCTCCTCCTCCTCCTCCTCCTCCTCCTCCTCCTCCTCCTCCCTTCGGGCGATCGCAAACATGGATTAAGGGGGCGTGTTCCGCTTCCATGGGCAATCGCGGAGTTCCGCCGCCGAACGAGGCGGCACCGGTCGCATTTTGGGGAGGGCACCTCCTCCGATCCATGGATTTGGCGACCGCGCGCCAAATCCATGGATGGCTAGTCCATGTTAGCGCGCCCCCGATCCCTCTCCTCCTCCCCCTCCTTCCCTTCATCCTCCTCCTCCTCCTCCTTCCCCTCATGCTTCTCCTCCTGCTGCTCCTCCTCCTCCCGGCCGAGGGCCCCGAGACACAGGACACAAGGGTCGTGCCCTTGTGTCCTGTGTCTCGCGGCCCATGGCTTCTGCGTTCCTCTGGCAACGCGGCCCTCGGAAGTGTCTTGTGTCCTCTCCTGTGCCCTCGCCAGTCAACCTCGACGGTGCTGCGTCTGGGCAGCGGCGCTGGCCGTATCTGGCTCTCGTCGCCCTGAGGAGAGGACCCCGGCCCAGCTGCTCGCCGTCCTCACGGGCGCGGAGGCGGGCGGCTCCGAGGCGCGCCTCTGCGCCGCGGCGGCCGCGCGGTCCGCGGCGGCGCCCTTCCAGCAGGGCCTGGAGCTGCGGCTGGAGGAGCCCCGCGCCGCCCTTGGGGAGCTCGGCGGCTCGGCGAGCGGCGGAGAACGTCGCCAATGCGCGCCCCGCCACTCGCAAGAGTGCCTGCCCGCAAATGCCCCCCAAACAAAACAGAGGCTGCTCGATGCACTGGAGCGCTTCTTTGCCTCGGCGCAAGGGGTCCAGGCCAGTTGCGAGCAGTCACCAGCCTCGAACTTATCCCTATCCCTAAGATTGACACGCGAAAAAGGAGATGACAACCTTAGGGATGCGCCCTCAGAGACGAAGGGAATCCCCACGATCGGCATCGCGATGAGGCGGTGCCCAGCAGAGGGACAGGGATCTGTCCCAGGCTGGTGAAACAGCTACTTCGCGAGCCGTGGAGCGCGCTTTTCTGGAGGGCATCGGCGGCACGCCCAGGCTTGGAGCGCGAGGTTGGCGCTCTCGCCCGCGCCGCTCCGCGGCGGCCTGCCGGCCCAGCTGCGCCCTGCGCCGAGAGCGTGCCCGGGGGTGCCCGGCTCGTGCCGACGGGCCGCTCGGGGGCCCGAGTTGTGGCCCGAAGCAGGGTCGATCTCCTGGCGCGGCAGTCACAGGGAGATGACCAGGACGAGGAGGAGGAGGGGGAGGAGGAGGAGGAGGAGGAGGAGGAGGAGGAGGAGGAGGAGGAGTAAGGATCAGGAGGTCTGAGGGCGGGAAAGATTGTAGCGAGGAGGAGTGCACAACCAGAGGGAGACGGAGGAAGAGAGAGTGGACGATGAGAAACATCAGGAGGCGGGCCTTCTCCCACTGAGCGCGTTCCACGACTCGCAGAGTGCCTGCTCGCAAACGCCTGGGAAAAATCACGTGTGCGTTTCGACGTGACGTGTCGCAGATCCCCCCTGGCGGATCCAGGCCAGTTGCGAGCAGTTGCTTTGCGAGTAGTGGAACGCGAGTCGTGGAACCCTCGAGTAGTTACTCTGCGAGTGGTAGTGGCCCCTTTGCCTGTCTAGTCTCGGGAGGCTCGGAGGGTCTCCGGCCCTCCGGAGAGCTTCCCGGGCGAGCCTCCTCCGACGCCGCAGCATGGGGGCCTTCCCCGAAGGCCAAGGAGGGCTTCCGAGAAGCCCTGCGGCCTGCTGCGAGAGCCTGCTGGCCCCCTCTCGCTTTCTCCTCGCGCGTGCGTCGGCCGAGAGCAAGCGTTAAATCGGGCGTGTCCCTCTACAGGAGGAACATTCAAAAATAGTCAAACAATAGTCTGGGGATGATTTTTTGGCTATATTTGAGCTCTTTGGGGGGCATTTTGAGACTATTTCTCACTTTTCGCCCAAAGTCCGCCTGTAGGGGGACGTGTCCGACCTAAAGCAAGCGTGCTGGCGCTGGCCGCAGGATCGGTCGACGCTCCTCACGTTGGGGGTGCTGCGGGCGGCGGGCGCTCCTGGGGAGCGTGCCGCTCTCGGTCAGATCTGGGGGCCCGCAGGGGCTCCCGAGCCTCGTGCTCCCCGCTTTCGCCTCTGCGGCCGGCGCCGGCCGGCGTCGAGGACTTCCCCCCGGCGCGCCCGCCGGCACCGAAGGCCAGGGTAGGGCTCGCCTCGGGGTCCTGGTCAGGACGCGCACCAGGCGAGGCCCTGGAGAGCGTGCTGTTTTTTTCGCCAGCGTTTCCTCCGGTTTGCTTCTCGTGTCGCAGAGCACTGCTCGGGCAACCTCCTTTGCGCCCAGTCTCGCCTCCACGTCCTGCTGCCTTCTGCACCTTGCTTGAATCCCTGCCCCAGCACGATGGTGGCTCCCACCTGCGCACCCGTCGCCACTTTCGTGGGCTGCTAGGAGGTCCAGCGGAGTGATGTCCTACTGCTGCCACTTTCGTGGGCTCCAGGGAGGTCTCGGCGCAGTGCCGTCGCGGACCGGGACCAGACCTCGCGGCTCCCTTGGAGGGCTGCCAATTGCTCAGTTGCTGCCAGTTTCGAGGCCCCCTGGGAGGTCCAGCGAGCGTAGTGGAGTTGCACGCAGACCCAAGGAGACCTCGCGGTTTTCGTGTGGCTATGGGCGCACTAAGAGTTCTACCGTGCTGCATATCTTTTTCATGGGCTCTTTTGTATGGGGCACTCCTCTGGATTGTCGCCTCCGGTTTAAAAAAGTCCGGTACGTCTCGGGCCATTTCGCTGCCCCCCTAGGTGAGGGTGGCGCGCCCGTCCGAGGCGACAGCCAGGGCGCTGGCCTCTGCCGGACTTGAGCCGCAAGGGAACCTGTCGCCAGACAATTTCGTGTTGCGAGGCTGCGTTCTGCGCAACACGGCGCTGCTCCTCTCCGTGGTGGCCTATGTGGGGGACGAGACGAAGACTCGGCTGAACATGGCAAAGCACCGTGCGAAACGATCCAAGATGCAGCAGCACCTCAACCGCGGCGTTCAGGGGCTAGTGGCTACACTCTTGACGTTCCTTCTGTACGTCACCGTCAGTGCATCGATCCAGGGCTTCGACGGGGAGCCCCAGTCGTGGAGTAGCACAAGACTAGTTCCCGAGGATTGGGCACCCACCTGGGTCAGGCGCATCATGTGGTACTGGATTATTCTGTACCAGATCGTCCCCATCAGCTTATACGTGTGCTTCGAAGTCATGAAGCTGATCTTAGCCTACCAGGTTGTCACCGACCCTCAGATGGTCGATCCCGAGACGGCGCTTCCTGCGCTGGCACGGACGGCCGACCTCATGGAGGAGATGGGCCAAGTTGATTTCGTGTTCTCCGACAAGACGGGCACCCTCACGGAGAACGAGATGGTGTTTGCCCGGTGTTGCGTGCACGGTGAAGACTTCGGGGACTTCCGCTTCTCGAAGGCCAGCAGTCCCCGAGTGCCGCCCGGCATGCAGGCGGTGCGGAATGTCCTGGGCAGGCAGCCGGGGGACGAGCAGCGCGAGGGGACGAGGTGGCTCCTGCTCTGCCTGGCGGCCTGCCACTCCGCGCAGGTGGACCGCGACCAGCACGGGCGCTGCCGCTTCTCCGGCAGCTCCCCCGACGAGGTGGCCTTCCTGGAGGCGGCTCAGCAGGTGGGCGTGGTGCTCACCGGCCGTCGGCGCCTGCCGGGGGGCGCCGGCACGGAGCTGACGGTGGAGCTGCCCGGAGAGGGCGCCCTCACCGTGACCCTCCTGGGCGAGATCCCCTTCTAGGGGGCCCACATGCGAACCCTCCCCCTCAGAAATCGTGGAGGGTAGGGGTAGGGTTCGCATGTGGCCCCCTACCTTCAGTGCTGACCGGAAGCGGATGTCTGTCCTCTGCAAGCTGGGAGGAGCTCTGTTCTGCATCTGCAAGGGCGCCGACAGCGTGGTGGGTTCGCTCTGCGGGCAGACGTTCGACGGCCACTCCGCGGGTCACCTTTCCACGTATTCGAAGCTCGGGTTTCGCACGCTTGCCTTTGCTTCCAGACCGGTGTCGCAGGCGGAGTTCGAGGAGTGGCAGACGAAGCTGTCAGGGGCACTCATGGACAAGCAGGATAAGGAGCGTGCCATGGCCAGAGTCGCAGCGGATATGGAACACTCCTTGACGCTTTGTGGAATTACCGCCATTGAGGACAAGCTCCAGGATGGGGTCCCCAATGCCATCGTCAGCCTGAAGGCTGCTGGTATCCGCTTCTGGGTGCTCACCGGCGACAAGACCGAGACAGCTGTTGAGATCGCTCGCGCGTGCCGCTTGTTCACTGAGTGCACACGGCTGGCGTTCCTGATCAACGTGGAGAGCGTGGAGCAGGCCAAAGAGCAGCTGGAGGCTGCGACCAAGTCCCTGCGCGATGCCGCAGAGGGGGGCCTCGTCCTCGACGGCACTTTCGTGAGCTTCGCCGCCGAGAGCGGCGAACTGCAGCGTCAGCTTTACCAGCTGGCCATGTCCACCAGCTCCTGCGTCGCATGCCGGCTCTCGCCCTCGCAGAAGCGAAGGCTGGTAGAGCTCGTGCGGCAGTACAATGCGAGCGGAGTCACCCTGGCGATCGGCGACGGAGCGAACGACGTTTCCATGATACAGGTCTGCGACCACTTGCGAACCCTACCCCCACGGGTCCACTCGGCGCTGGGGTATCGGACCCTCCCGCTGTGGTTCATTGGGCTGCAGGCATCCTTAAATTCTGAACCACAGCCGGTTTTTCAGAATAATTCGGACTTGCGGGGGTTGGGTTTCGACTACACGCAAGAGTGACCCTTCGCTGGAGTGACCTTTGGTGCGGGCCCACTGGGGTCCCCCGATCGCCGAACGCGACGCGATAGTAGCGTCTTGCGCGCTGGTGTTTGGGCCCCCCGCGGCCTCCCACGAGCCGCGCACCAAAGGCCACTCTCACCCATCGGTCACTCCTGCGTGTGGCCGATGGGTTCTTCAGCGGTTGCGCAGCAGGGCGCTCACGTGGGCGTGGGGATCCGGGGCAAGGAGGGCAACGCGGCGGTTCTCGCCAGCGACGTGGTCATCTCGAAGTTCCGGTTCCTGGTCCCCCTGCTCTTCTGCCACGGCCGGCGGGCCTATCGGAGGATGGCCGCCTTCCTGTTCAGGGCGCTTCGCGACCTCCGCCCTCTCCCCGCTCTCGCCGGGAGGGCCGAGGGTGGCACCGAGACGGGCCGTGGACGTGTCGAGATCCGCGTGGGGCGGCTCCGCGGGATGCCAAGCACGGCTCCAGGACTTCGCCAGATCTGCCTCGAGACGGCCTGCAGACTGAAGACGCCCCCCGCCTTCCCCCACAGAAACCGCCTGGAGGCGGCCCAAGTGGTCTCTTGAAGGGGTCCCCCAAATGCACCGAGCATGCGCCAAGGCGACCCCTCGGCAGACCCAAGACGGAGAGTCCATTCTAGGACCAGGTCGGCCAGTTTGGGTTTCGATTTGGGGGCCAAGTTCGATCCCACAGCTCGTCGAAGAAAGCGATGAGCTTTGCAATTCGGACGATGCGACGGACGAGCGCGAAGAGTGGCTGTAAGAGGCGCCCAGGCGAAGTCCAAAAATACGAAAGTCATATTTTATGCCGTTCAGGTGTTGCTGAGCATGTTTTGGGTTTCTCTAGTTCGAGAGTGGATTTGAAAGAATTCATCGCTCTTGGAGGCCAGGGGGGACGATCCGGGGGTCCAATGGCCAAAAAGAGGGCACCACCGCGGTCACGAAAGCGAGTTGGGAACAGTGCAAATTTCGGGCTCGTCTTGGACCCCGTCTCTGTCTCGGAGTTGTGCCGAGTCCTGAGAAGGCCACCCGTGGGGCTGCACCGTGGAACGAGACGCAGCCCCGGCCAGCGAGCTGGGACCTCAGCTCAGCGGGCGACGGAGTGCGCGGAGAGCTTGTTGCGTAGGGGAGAGGGGGGGTGCCCAGAGCTCTGAAGCAAACCCCGGGCGGATCCCGGAGGCTCAAGCCACCGAGAGCCGTTCCGCCGATCTCCGAAGAGGGGAGCTCTGCTGATGGCGGGGGGGGGCTGCTATAGCGATTTGGTGCGGAGAGAGGGGGGAGGAGGAGCAGGAGGGGAGGGAGGTCGGAGGGGCAGGAGGACGAGGGAGGGATGGGGGAGGGGAGCAGGAGGGGTACGAGGAGCAGGACACGGAGGGGGGGCCGAGCCAGAACGAGGGAGGAGGGGAGGAGGAGGAGGAGGAGGAGGAGGGAGAGGAGGAGGAGGAGAGGAGGAGGAGGAAAAGGAGGAGGAAAAGGGAGGAAAAGGAGGAGAGGAGGAGGAGGAGGGAGGAGGAGGAGGAGGAGGAGGAGGAGGAGGAGGAGGAGGATGAGGAGGAGGAGGAAGAGGAGGGGGAGGGGGAGGAGAAGGACCAGTGGAAACCCAAGAGTCATCAACCCTGTTGGAACAAAAAAAACTCCTTCAAGCTTCCTTTTCGTAGGCCCCTACAACGGTTCATCTCCACTGAGGGAACTGTCTCGTTGGAAGATAACCGTTTGAAGACCCTGAGGCATGCCAAAACAATGTTCTCGGGATTCCAACGCCACGGATTCCCATGATCAGCGTTCCCACGATTGTGTTTTGGAAGGATTCAGGATTTGGAGTGTGCATGAGTTACGTTGATTCGCTGTGTTGCAGTCTCAGGAATGGTGTTGTTCCAGCCAACTCGAGACCCCACCAGAGTGGATTCTTAGGGGAGCGCAACTGTCGCTCAGCCGTGTAGTAAAGTGTCCGGGGCCCTGGGCTACCGCATCTGACTTATGGACGCTACAGCAAGCTTTTGGTTTTGCGACTTCCTTCATACACTTACAGTCGGAGCGCTGAAGAAGGGACCCGTTTTGTTGGGGAGGGGCCCCGTGTCCCTTGATTGTTTCACAGTTCGCTTCAGGTTCTCCTCAGGTTCCCGATGGGAAATTAAGTTCATTTTATGGGAATTTCGGCTTAATCCCGTTTGATCCCGCTTAATCCGGTTTCATCCCGCTTAATCCGAGGCCCACTCCGGCGTAATAGCTCCACAATGGGGCTTAATTCATCCTTACTCTTTCCGACGAGAGCCTCCCAGCAGTTGCCTCCTAACTTTAGGGGTCCTTAGGTCAACGCCCCGACTGCAGAGTGGACGGCGCTCGCAGCCCGGGTCCGCGCGGCCCTCTCCGACGGTGCGCGCTCGCCACGGCGTCGGCTCCCAGCTGGCGTGTCCTCCGCCGCCGGGAGGCCCTCGCCCGCCCGGGCCGCGATCAAATCGCGGCCTGCCTGGGCCGACTGTGGCGTGGCCGCGCTCCCCCCCCCCCGAGCTCTGGCTCGCCCTGCCGTTGGTCCTCGAGAGGGCGCCACGGAGATCGTGGAGGAGGAGGAGGAGGACCGCAGGCGAGCCGGCGAGCTGCTCAGCCTCGCCCTCGGCGTCGGCGTCGCCGCGGGCACCTCACTGGCACTCCCGGGAGAGGAGCTGGGCGCTGGTCTCTCTTTGCTGTCTGGCGCAGGCGGACGACCACCTTTCAGGAGGGACAAGAAACACACAGACACAATTCCTCGTCGATTCCACCGAAAGTATTGGAAAATATGGGAGGTGGGGGGGAAGACAGAACCCCAGAAAATATGGGAAAATATGGGGGATCCTGTTATTTGTGTCTATTTATTTGTGTGTCCCAGGGCACCTTCAACCTTGCGTGGCTTGCAGGGTCACTGGGCCTCGGTGCCGCTGCCGGGCTGCTGGGCGCCAGCGCGCAGAAGCCGATGCTATGCTTGGCGCGCGGACGGTCGGCGCGCGGCGTGCGCCCTCTCCCGATGCCCGGCTCCACTTCGCGGCCCATGAGATACAGACCTCGGGCCGAAATTTCGCCGTTGGCAACTGGGCGCCGCAGCCCGTCGTGCGTCAGTAGCTGGGGGTGCAGGGGAGCGAGCGCCAGAGTGGCCAAGCAGACGCGCCGCTGCTGAAGACATGGGGCGCGCTGGTGCCCCCAAAGAGTCCCAGCGGCCGTCTCCTCGATCGCGTGGAACTGGTGGACCGCGCCGCGCCGCCTCCAGAGCCACGCCACGCGCTTATTTGTTTGCGCCGGATGCGCCCATGAGGGTGTAAAACATTACTGCCTGTGCTCTGCGGTTCGGACGGCGTGCCGACGGATGCTTCGACTCGATGCGGGATGCTCTGGCAACCGGCACACTGTCATACAGGTGAACCTTCGACTTGCTTTCATGGAGACGCTGACCACAGTCGCCTTGCTCGTCTGCGGGGTCCACGCGGCTTCCAACAGCGTTCGGTCCCACGGAAATCCGCCTCCAGATTCCGCCGTGGGGCGCCATCGTGCAAGCCGTGCGAGAAGGGCCCAAAGGGCACGCCAATGCGACCAAGGTGCTCGGAACGAGGTTTGGGGGGGGGGGGGGGGGGGGGCCGTCTCCATCCAGACCGCTGTCGAGCCCACCGACGGCCCCTTGTTCGGACCGCGTGATCGAACTTCGCCACGTTCGCCAACGAGGAGGCTGGGAAAAGGCCGTTCGGCCACGACAGGGATAAGCAGGGGCGAGCGAGGGGCCACTCGCGGACAGCTGGATGGACTCTGTGCGTGCCCCCGCCCACTTCCGCGCTCGCTCAGATGGACTCCGACCAGCATGCTTCCGCCCGACTCCGCCCACCTCCGACGCCATCCAGCATCCCCTCACCCTCGCCCGTTGACCTCCCGCGCGCTTTGGTTTTAGTTTGTTGCGCCATGTTGGGGCCAGTTGAATGCCCGCGAAGAAAATGCATCACTCCGCGCAGGTCGGGCCGACATGGTGCCGCAGCTAGGTGGCCAGAACTCGGGGGGCAGATGCTGTCCCCCCCGCGCACAAAGCACATCAAATTGTTGCGGAGACGCGGCGTATGCGCACCAGCGCCAGCACCAACGCCAGCGTTTTCGCTGGCTTCGATGCCAGCACCGACACCGGCACAGTCGCCGACGCCTACGCCATCGCTGATGCCAGCACCGACGACAGCATGAATGCCTGCGATTACGCCGGCACCGACGCCTGCGCCTACACCAGCGTAGATGCCAGCACTGACGCTAGCACACGCCAGCTCCTGCGCCGGTACCAGTGCCAGCGCCTACACCAGCACCGATGTCATCACCGACGCTGGCACCAGTACCGACGCCATTACCGACGCCAGCATGAACGCTTGCGATGGCGCTGGCACCAACACCAGCGCCTGCACCAGCGCGGACACCAGCACAGTCGCCAGCACGAACGCCTGCGAATGCGTCGGCATCAACGACAGCGCCTACACCAGCACCGATGTCATCACCGACGCTTGCAGCAGCACCGACGCCATCACCGACGCCAGCATGAACGCCTGCGATGGCGCCGGCACCAACACCTGCGCCTACACCAGCGCCGACACCAGCACAGTCGCCAGCACGAACGCCTGCGATTGCGTCGGCATCAACGACAGCGCCTACACCATCACCGACGCGCTGGTGTTCGTGCTGGCGTCGGTGCCAGCGTCGGCGCTGGCGTTGGTGCTCGCGCCATCGCAGGCGTTCATGCTGGCGTCGGTGATGGCGTCGGTGCTGCTGTAAGCGTCGGTGTTGGTGCTGGCGTCGGACCGACGCCAGCACCAACACCGACGCCGGCACCAGCACCGTCGGCAGCTCCGACGCCAGCACAGACGCCGGCATGAACGCCTGCGATTGCGCCAGCACCAACGCCAGCGCCTACACCAGCGCCGACGCCAGCACTAACGCCAGCACGAACGCGCACAGTCGCTAGCACCAACGACTGCGCCTACGATGGCACCAATGCCAGCGCATACACCAGCGCCAGTGTCAGTCATTCATTACGCCAGCACCACCGCCGGCGCATACGCCAGCACCAAAGTCAGCGCCTACACTGGCACCGCCACCAGGCCGCAGCGCACCGATTAGTGCCGTAGCTAACCCTTGCGCAAGCCACCTGCCGCGCGCTTTGGTTCTAGTTTGTCGCGCCGTGTTGGGGCTAGATGACAGCCCACGGAGAAAATAAATCACATCGTGCAGGTCGGGCCGACATTGGGCTGCAGCTAAGTGGCCAGAACTCGTGGCTCCACACAAGGTTCATCAAAGTGTCATGCCAGCACTGACGCCAGCACGAACGCGGGCGCCTGCGCCGGCACCTAGGCCAGCGCCTACACCAGCACCGCAATCATCATCGACTCCAGCACCAACGCCGACGCCTACAGTACCGACGCCAGCACCGACGCCCGCATGAGCGCCTGCGATGGCGCTGGTACCAACGCCAGCGCCTACATCAGCGACGACGCCAGCACTGACGCCAGCACGAACGCCGGCACCTGCGCCTACACCTACACAAGTACCAGTGTTATTACCGACACTGGCACCAACGCCGACGCCTACACCAGCACCCGCGCCAGCATGAACGCCTGCGGTTGCGGCGGCACCAACGATAGCACCTACACCCGCGCCGACGCCAACACCAACGCCGGCGCATACGCCAGCACCTACGCCAGCGCTTACACCATCACCGATGTGATCACCGACGCCAGCACCAATGCCGACGCCTACAGCAGCACCGACGCCCGCATGAACGCCTGCGATTGCGGCGGCACCAGTGCCATCGCCCACACCAGCGCCGATGCCAGAACTGGCGCTAGCACGAAGGCCGATGCCTGTGCTGGCATCAACGCCACCGCCTACACCAGCGCCGATGTTATCACCGACGCTGGCACCAGCGCCGACACCTGCATCAGCATCGACGCCAGCACCACCGCCAGCTCAGATGCCGGCGCATACGCCAGCGCCGACGCCAGCACTGACGCGAGCATGAACGCCTGCGATTGCGCCAGCACCAAGGCCGGTGCTTACGCTGGCACCACCGCCGGGGCCTACGCCAGCGCCGACGCCAGCCTTTCATGCCTGCGCCTACCATCTTTCCGTACGAGGAGGTGACCACCAGCGAGACGGACACTATTGGAGCGGCCACCACATCAGGGGCTTCTGATGAAGCAGGGGACGTGGAGGTCGCCACGACGGCAGAGACGACTGGAGTCTCTTCCATCTTCCCCGGCAACGTGGTGGCCACCAGCGTGGTGGAGACAGTTGGAGCGGCCACCACAGCAGGGACGACCCCAGCCCCAACGTTGGCGCCTGCGCCAGCGCCGACGCCAGCGCCTACAGTGGCACCGACGCCAGCGCCAGCATCTGCGCATACGCCGGCACCAACGCCGTCGCCCACACCAGCTCCGGCGCTGGCCCCGACGCCATCATCAGCGCCTACACCATGTCCTGGGTGCGGCTGCGTGAGGGCTGTACCCCTTGATCGGTCGCCGTCTCTCCCTCTCGCTCTCGCGCTGTCCCCCCTTCCCGCTCGTTTACAGCTTTGCACTGCGTGCTCTGCTTAGTTTTGTTCGGCACCCCGCGCTGCCCCCTCGTCCTTGGGGGGGGGGGTGCGCCCTCTGCCTCGGGGTCGTCAGGGGCGGTTTGCTCACAGAGGTTCCCGTCTCCCTGCGCCCCCCCCCTGCGCGGATCAATGTATTGCTTTAGTCCGTTCCTGCTCGCCCGTGTTGCCCTGCTTTTTCTTTCTGTCCCCCCCCCTTCCCCGCTCGTGTGGGGCCTATGTGCGCGCACCCTGGGCGAATCCCCAGTTGGCCCAAGCATTCACGAGCTTGGCTCCGCTCTCCTCCTCGCTGTTTCTCTTCCTTCCTCTCCTGCCTCTCCTGCTTGCTTCCGCCTCTCGTGTGACAGCAGTCCGGGATTGCCGTGAGGCCGCCTCTGCAGCTTGCTTTGGTATTGTGCAGGGTCATTGCGCTAGTCCTCACGCCTGTCGTTGTGTGACGCCTTATTCTATGAATGGTCGGTTTCCGCGGCGGGAATTTTACATGACCACCGCCTGGAGGGTCAGTTTTCGGAGCCTCGGCAGGCGGTGGATATGGACATATTCGGGCCCCCGGGAGCCAAAATACATCCACATCCACCGCCCGCTGGGGAAACAGGGCGTCGATTCCCAGGCGGTGGATCTGGATAAATCTCCGCCTCGCACGGCTGGACCTTGTGGGAGTGTACATCTTTCCCTCCTGTGGGGCATGTGATTGCGCAGTATTGCGGTGGGCAGATCGACGTCTCGGTGTGTGGGCGCGCAGGAAAAAACACACAAAAAACTCAGGAGATTCCTCGGGAGGCTTCGGGGCAATGGTGGAGCCGCCTTGGGGCGGACTGGGACGATCGTAGAGGCATTCTATGGTTAAGTCGGGCCTGTCCCTCGACAGAGGATAACTACACATAGTATGGGGACTACTCTTTGGCAATTGTTTGGTATGTTTTGTGAGTTTTTTTTTCTCGTTTTTTTTATCTTTCGTCCAACAGCCCCCTGCAGGGGGGAAGGCCCGATTCTAATTCTAAGGCCATCTTTGGCACTCGTGGAGAGCATCTTGGGATATCGTGGGCCACAGCCGAGCTATCTTGAGGCGTTCTAGCCAGGGAGCCATGTGGAAGGCTTGGCAGGACCTGGGAGACGGCTGCTGAGCTGGCCCCCTTTAAAACGGGCTCGTGGGCCCCAGGCGGCGGGATAGGGTGAGGGCCTGTCGCACGCCTTACCACCCCTGGCAGGCAGGGGTCGGAATATTGTACATGCTTTACAAGCATATCGCCATCGCTACTGGTGACATGATCTGGGCAAGCCAATCAAGCTTCCGCGGGGACGTCGGCTATCCCGAGTGGCTGAATTCGGCATACGCCGGTGCCATTACGCCCTTTGCCTTCTTCGTCACGCTGGGATTCGACCGCGACGTTCCAGATGCGGTTGCCGTTCGCAGTCCTGAGCTCTACCGCGAGGGGCTGATGAACTTGTACTTTAACCCGCGCCTTTTCATCCTGTGGGTCGTCAGCGCGCTGTTCCACGGCGCTGTGGCCTGGGTCGTTCCGAGCTTGGCGGTGGGGTCCTCTGACACCGAGGACCCCGACTTCTGGACGGCGTCCGTCGCCTCGTTCGTGGTCCTGGTGCTGCTGGTGAACTCGCGCCTGTGGATCACCTCTCTCAACCCGCTCTGCACTCGGACTGTGCTGGCCATGTCGCTGTCCTTTCTCCTGGCGGCCGCCTCCGTCTTCGGCCTCAGCGAGGTCTCCCTCGGGCAGCACATGCAGCCCGAGATGGCCGGCGCGGCGGTGACCGTGGGCCGCGCACGCGCCCGCCGATCTCGCTGCCTGCCCCGTCGGCCGCGGCCCGACCAGGGCAGGGCGGCCCCGCGCGGATGCTCCTGTGCGGAGCGCACCCATGGGTCAGGCGATCGCAAACATGGATCAAGGGAGCGTGGACTGGCGACGGGTCCCGATTCCATGGGACATCGCGGACTTCCGCCGCCGAAAACGGGGCGGCACCTGCCGCAGCTTTGGGGAGGGCACCTCCCCGCCAGATCCGTGGATTCGGCGACCGCGCGCCAAGTCTATGGGTCGCCAATCCATGTCTGCGGGCGCGGGCATCCAGGCTGTCCTGCAAGGCGCTGCAGGAGGAGGGGGGGCCGAGGAGGGGGGCTGGGGGGGGGTGGGGCGAGGATCGGGGTAGATGGAGGGCGCCCCCGAACGGGATCGCGGGCCCACGGGACTGCGGGCCTCGGTGCCCAGGCTGCGAGGGCACGCGTCTACGGCAGGGCCGCCGGCGTGCTGACTGGCGCGGCGGCGTCCCCGGTGCGGTCGCTCGAGGTATGGAGCGCCGCCGGCGGCCGGGCCTCGGCCGACACGTCGAGCGGCTGCTGCCGTCGGAGAGCCGCGAGCGCTCAGGGCCGAGCGGCCCACGCGCCGGCAGAAGCCAGAGACCAGCGCGCGAGCCGCCGCGGCACGAGCCGGCCGTTCCTACTCTTCGCGGGAGCTCAGGGCCCCCCAGGTGGGGACGTTGAGGAGCCAGGGCGTCGGCGCGCCCAGGAAGACTGCGGCCGTGGGCCGAGCTATAGCTTCTCCACTCTGCGCTTCCTCCGGGTGGAGCGTGCAGGGTCCCGGTTCGCAGCGTCCCGATTCCGGGGGCCCTGAAGAGCACGGCTGTGGATACGTCCGCCGCTCGTGAGCCCAGATTAGGGGAACAACAAGTGACATAAACATAAAAGCTCGGAGGTCCGCGCGGACCTCCGAGTTTTTATGCGTATGCCACTTTTTGTTCCCCTACATATATCCGCCGATCTGTTTTTTTCATTCCCGCGGTCCCAGAGGTCCCGGCCGACCCCTGTTGACGGCCCACGTTTCACGGCCCCGGGGCCGAAAGCGGCCCCCGGAGGCCGACGCCGAAGAGCAGCGCACGCGCTGACAACATCGCGGGCCGTGGGCAGTTTTGTGACGGTGCTTGGACCACCGCCGAGAGGAGGAGGAGGAGGAGGAGGAAGAGGAAGAGGAGGAAGAGGAGGAGGAAGAAGAGGAGGAGGCGGAGGAGGAGGAGGAGGAGGAGGAGGGGGAGCAGCAGGAGGCGGAGGAGGAGGAGGAGGAGGCGGAGGAGGAGGCGGAGGAGGAGGAGGGAGGAGGAGGATGCGTCCGCCGCTCGCGAGGCGAGGGCCTTCTCCCGGGGCGACAGCCTCGCCGTGATGGCGGCCACCGGCCTCTCAGCGGTCCTCGCAGGGCGCCAACCGTAGACCTCTCCACCGACCCGCCATGCCCCACTCCAGGGCAGGGCTGGACCTAAACGTTGTTCTGCTGAACTTCGGCCGTGCTTTGTTTTTCGTTTTTGGGGTGAGGCACCAGGAAAGCAGGCCGAGCAAGACGAACAAAAACGGAACGAGCACAAAACGAAGAACAACGTTTGGGTCCAGCCCTGCTCCAGGGGCAGAGTTGGGGGGAGATCGGCGCGGGAGGGAGCGCTTCGACCCCCCCATCGCCCATCGGTCGTCGGTGGGCTCCTGAGCCGACGCCGCCCGGGGTGGTGGCCCGGGCCCAGGATCTTGTGCGCACGCTCTCGCGGCTCCTGGCAGGAATGGGCGCACACACACAAACCTGTCGGGTGTCTGGAGGAAGGCAGCCGCCACAGCGCAGCCCAGGCTCCCTCGTATAGCACGTGTGAGGCCGTCTGCATTCTAGGGGCGGCTGGAGACTGTCGCAGAGACTTGTGCTCTCGAACCTCTTCCCCCTTCTCTCTCGTGCCTTCTTTGCGCCAGCCGGCTCCCGCCATGCCGCGGCTTTTCTCTGCAGGTTTATCTCCCGTCTTCTCGGGCTCCGACCAGGACCGCCATAGTTAGGGAAACGAGACTTGCAGGGTTGGCCTTTCCGGGCGGGAGCTGTCGCAACGATCTGCTCTCACGGGTGGGCACCGGCCCCGGGTCCGGGCGCAGGTTGGGCCAGGTCAGGAGATCTGCGCACGGGCGGGGGCATTCGTTGATGAGTGCGCCCAGGAGGCTGCAAGACCCTGGAGGACTCCGTATCTGATGAGGGCGGCGGTGATCTCCACGGCCAAGCCTTGTGGAAGTCGGTTAACGGAGAGAAAGCGTGCTGCAAACTAATCTCCAGATGTCTAACACATGTATCAAACATGCTTTAAATTTGCCAAAAACATGTTTGAAACATTTTTAGAACATGTTTTTTTTCACATTTTAAACACATGTTTAAGTCAATGATCGGATTGTTGGAGTGTCCATTGTCATGGCATCCACGAGCCAAGCCTCGATGGGAGCTCCGCCGGCCTCCAGGCCCCTTGGCTTCCCCATCGACGGGCTCCTTCCACCCAGTGGCCCCTTCCACCCAGTGGCTCAGGTGTACGCTTGGCGCCCTCCCAGGTGCTCCTGGACTGCCTCCTCGTCCTGGGGCGCCGGGCCCTGCGGCCGGGCCCCCTGGACGAGGCGCGCGCCCGGCTCGGCGGCGGCGGCGGCGACCCGAAGGAGTGAGGGCCGCCGGGAGCCGGCGGGCGCAGCGGGGGCACGGTGCCCTGGCATCGCTCGGACGTGTGCATTTTCCCTTCGTCGAGGACCATCGAGGAGCATCCTGTATCATTTGGCGAACAAGCCACGCACGCGACCGACAAAAAACAGAGGGAATGGACGTCCGAGCCATGGCCAGGTGCGGCCTGCGGGCCGGGAGCCTGCAGACAGGGAGCCCGAGGGCTGGGAGCCGGTGAAGCTCCAAGCGTGGACCGGCCAGGGACAGCACCGCCGCCTCCATGAGAGAAGGGTTGCTCCAGTCAGGAGCGAAAGAAGGGCGTACACGTGCACGAAGCCACGCTGGCTTCGAGAGTACGCACTGCGCAAATGTTCGTATAACGCGGCCGGTCTCGCGGATCGAGGGGCCGTGTTCATGTACATAGCTGGGCGCGTACGTCCGTTGCGGGCTCCCTATCCAGGGTCTGCAGCCTCCTGGGCACTTTTTTGTCGAGGAGCGCCCCCGCCGAGTGAGCCGGCAGCGCGCGGAGGAGAAGGCGAGAGAGGGGGCGGGCCTGCTCACGAAGGCGGCGGGGGCTTCTCAGAGGCCCTCCGGCCGTGTGAGAAGGCCTCTCTGTCTTCGGAGGTGGATCGACCTCCTACCCTTAAACGTCGATTAAGGAATTGGCCGTTTTCGGTTCGCGAGAGGGCGTCGCGGCCGTCATTTTTGCGGATCCAGGTGCGTCGGTTTCGGTTCAAGGCCGTTTCCACTGAGGGGAGGTTTACTAAAGGGGGGTTTGTCCACCGCCGATCTCTCTTCGGAGAGGGTGCAGGAAGCTTCTCGGAAGGCGGGGGGCTTTCTGAGAAGCCTTTGAGAAGGCCCGCCCCCTCTGCCTTCCCCCCCTGGGCTTCAGTCGGGCACGTCCCTCTACAGGAGGAGTGTTAAAAAAAAGTCAAACAATTATCAGGAGGGAAAAAACATACAGACACAAAAAATCGTCGACTCCCAGGAAAATATGGAAAAATATGGGAAGTGGGGGGGAAGACAAAAACCCAGGAAATATAGGAACATATGGGGAATCATGTTATTTGTGTGCATTTATTTGTGTGTCCCAGGGCCCCTGCAAATTAGTATGGGGACGATGTTTCTATGATTTTTAGAGTGTTTGGGGCATTTTTAGAGCATTTTTTAAACGCATGTTCGTCCAGGATCCTCCCTGTAGGGAGACATGCCCGACGCAACCCTGGGCGCGCCGCCGGAAAGAGACAAGCTGTTCCACCATCGGGGGCGCCTGTGCCGGGGCGGCGGGAGCGTTCATGCCCCCCCTTGCCGCTTCGGGTGTTGCTAGAAGTACCCCTGGCCCGAGGTACCCCCAGGATTCTCGGGGTGGCCCAGGCGGCCTCCAGGGCACCCCTCACGAGGCCCAGAGGACCCCAGGGGCTCCAAAATGGCGCGAAACGCTGGGGGCACCTTCGGCCAGGGGTACTTCTAGCAACACCTGACCGCTGTGGGGCAATGAACTTTCCACCTCGCCATGGGACAGGCGTCCCCCAATGCGGGAAGACGGTCCCGCTTAGAATTCAGGAAAACCTCCCCCGGAAGGGCTGGCCCGGCGTTTCTTCACCAACTTGCCGGAAAAAGCCAGCTCAGTTTCTTATAAAGGGACTGGTAGCCTTATGGATCCTAGAAATGAGTCGTGTACGCTCCTGGCTCCAAGAGCTGGCCCAGCGTTGCCTTAAGAAACTTGCGAAACGCTGGCCCAGCTTCCTTAGTCTATAATTTTCCAAGTCGTCTTTTTGACGGTCGCTTATCTCCTACACACCTCTTCGCCCGCGGAAGG